ATCTGTACTATCTAATACCTATTAACAGTAAAATCAAAACATTCAACTTCCTTATAGAAAGTATTTCATGTATGTAACAATATATGGTAAGGATTCTTGCATTTTATAAACACAAGATGGGCTCACTTGATGATACTATTTTTAAAATTTATAAAAAGTTTTAAAAATTCTTCCCACAAAAGTTTATACAGTTTAAAGCTATACACCATCTATAAATCTCAGAAAATGGGGGAAAAAACCTTTATAAGAGCACATGTACAAAACAAGAACTGAAATGTGATTTTATTTAAGGCAATACTGGGCTACTTCACAAATCACCACCTTAAATATTTACACTGATCCACACTACTAGTTTCTATCACATTGACAAAGGATATTTTTAAAATACCAATGTTTAAAAACTTCCATGTATTAAAAGTCTTTATTCACATTTCCATTATATTTTATGGACTCATAGTAACTATATCTATTTAGAAACAATGGAAAAAGAAAAAAATCTGTAGCTACTAAAGAATCTGTTTTTTAATTTCATATGAATACCACCCAAGAATGCAGGATGGTAAATTCACAGAGTGTTGATATAATGTGCCTACTGTGTGAAACATAACATTGACTATCATCTTGTAAATAAAAGTCTTATGTAGAAAAAGAAAAATCAATTACGGCAGTTTCTAGTTGTACTTCAAAAAGTTCTTAATTTAAATCAAAAGAAGTTTAAAAACTTGATCACATTGTTAAAATTAAAACTGCAAATATAAATGTCTCATTTAATAGTTTAGACTTACAGACTGCTGGTGGCAGCAATGATTTACAGTAATAAATATATACAAAAAAAGCTATCTACAAATAGAGTACTGCTATACACGAGCGGCGACCTGGTGAAGGTTGCAATCACATAGATAATTCAGTCTTCATGAAAAGGACAACTGGGTGATAGAAATTTGAGGCTTAACTCAATTATTTACAATAACTGAAGTACGGATTCCATTCAAGTCCCATAGGGATAAAATAAAGTTCTGCATGACAGAGGTCATGGTTTTTTTTCTGCCTTCTTTTAGCTAGGTTAATTCATGTAAACAAAAAATTTAAAAGCTCACAATTACAACATGCTTGATGGCTTTCTATTTAAATGAAACTATACAAATGACACAGTTACAGTACATGAGTTGTCAGTACTGTCCTCTGCCTGTGGCTTTACCTATACTGATTTCTTTCAGAACAGACCTATCGGGGTCGTTTGAACACACTTCAAGTTTCTTCAGACTGACGGTAGGTTTCATTTCCTGAAGCTGCTTTAGGGCAAGCTCAGTGCAATTTCTAAGAGTCTTGTCTAAAACAATTTTTACATTCTCACTGCACTGAAGTTGTGAGGGATTGGCAAACTCTACAAAGATTTCACTGTCTTTACAAGAACACATGCGATTTCCACTATTTGCAGCAGTCTTATCAGTACTTTTCCTTGAATTTGAATGGGATCCTCTTTTAGTTCCACTATTTGGATGGTCTCTGTCAGGATTTTTTTTCTGCTTCACTGCAGACTCTTCAAGAAACTTAAGAAATGACACTTCAAATCCCATTGGTTTAAAGGAACTCCAGTCAAAGGATGAAGGATGCTCCTCAGTGGTTTGAATTGCAACAGCAGTCTCTTCCTCTTTATGCACGTTATGTACCTCAACTGGTGATTCTGGCTCAGGTTTCTCAACTTTCCTTTTTTTATTTTTTATTGTGTTTTTTTCTTTACTAACTCTCTTCAAATTACCTGCTTTTTGTCTTTCTGATGGGCAGGGACTATTTTCCTGGAGATCATTACTTATATTTGAAGTAGTGTTAGCTTGGGTCTCCACATTGGTGCAGTCTTCATTTATTAATTTTGTAATAAATAATTCCGTTAGCTCATCCATTTCATCTTTTTCATTTTTTACTGCTTCTTTCTGTGGAGCAGCTGTTCTTGAGTTATCACTTTTCTCTAATAAAAGTGTGTCAGAATCTTTTACATCATTTTTACCATCTTCTTCCTCTGTGGCTTCCTTTACTTGTGAGTCACCACATCGTTTGAAGACAATAAGATGATTACGGTGTTGTGATGTAAATGCCTTAGATAACTTATGGCACTTGTAATGTCTGATTATATTGCTTTCGCTTGTAACAACTGAAGTACACCCCTTTATCATACATGGATATTGGGTCACAAATTTGCTTGTACACTCTGACAAGGCATCATTTCTAGCCTTTATAGAATACACATGCTTTCCACGTTTTAGAGAATAAGGCTTATTTTCCTCAATCTGCACAACTTTTGCATTCTTGTTCTCTAAGTTACTTTTTTTCTTTCGCTTGGTCTTGGGCATTTTCATTCCTTCTTTTCCAGTTCTGCAGTGTTTTGTTGCCCGGTGTTTAGACTTTGATTTTTCCTGGTTTGCCTTACTTGATATATTTTCCTGGCCAGTTAGTTTTCTTGGCCGAATCAAATGAGCTTTATGTTTGTCATTATGCTTGTTAAAAATGTGTCGGAGAAGATTAGAGCGAGTGGCATACATGCGGTCACAGCCTTCACAGTCACATTTGTATATACCATCCTCTTCCGTTCTACTTGTCCTTGCTCCAATTCCATGGTCGACCTCAAGATGAACAACATAGTTCAAGTATGTTGTGAAGGAAGATTGACAGTCGAGCTGGTCACATGGAAACTTGCCAACATCCACAGAAGCAGTCATACTTTCGATTTCCTCAGGAGTCATTTCATGCAGTTTCATGTAGTGTTGGATTAAGCCTGTAATGGCTTGAAAAATTCGAGAACAGTCACTTACCTGGCACCGAAATTCTTTCATGCTCTGCTTATTTTCAGTTTCTTCAAGTTCTTTACCAGCTTCACTTTCCTCTTCAACCTCTGCAGAAAAAGCAGGAAGATCTGATTTGTGGACAGCCTGGTAATGAAGAATCAGGTTCTGCTGTATTGTGAAAGCGGCAAAGCAGCCCTGGTGAACACAGCAGTAAGGTCTGTACGGGCTATACCGTGCTGGAAATTCAAGGGACTGGGAAACTGCTTTCTTCTGTCTTTTTTCCTCTTTTTCTTTTCTATACCTCCTAGTTTTTCGTCCTTTAGCTTTCATGTTTGAGAGAGAATCTGTGTCCATATATTGTTCAGGAGTAATTGTGATAGGCTGTGAAGAACATTCTGGTTTCTCAGGACTTTTTTTTTCTGCAACTTGTTTTTCTGGGGTCACTGCTATGCTGCTGAGGTAATTTTCTGTCACTGCTGGTAACTCTAAGGGAGGCTGTAATTCTGGTTTAATTTCCTTTGTCACATGTGGCTGTTTTTTCATTTGGTTAATTTGTGGAGCCGGTAAACTCTCACTTTGAGATTTTCTTCCATATGGCCTTTTTATTTTTAACTTAACCATTTCTTCTGTTGTAAAATGATGTACCAACTGACAGTGTGCCCGAAGATTAGAATTTCTTGTGAATGTTTTTGTACATGTAGGTACTACGCATTTAAATGGAGCAAATTTTAACTGATTCTTCTTAATTTCAAGGATCATCTCTGGAGTATACTGGTGGATTTTACCATAATGCTTAAATAGGGCATCCTTTGTCATGGCACTGTAGTTACAGCCTTGGTTTTGACACACGAAGGGCTTATTAACTCTGTCATTAAGCTGAATGTGCATCATTTCAGAAACTGGCTGAACTGTGATATTTGGAGCTGATTTAATAGGAGTAGGGGCCAGTGTTACTGACTGGTTTATCAGTATACACTGGGAAGCTGGAGCAGACAGGTCATTTTCTAATTTTAATTTTTGTAAACCTTCTAAAATTTCTTGTATTTGATCCTCCTTATACAATGCTTCAGATGGAGGAATATTACTTTTTGTTGGCATGGCAGTTAGGAAAGATGAAAACTCAGAAGAATCAGGTAGCTTGTTATTTGGCGTAGAGGTAACTGCAGGAAGCTGCATGCTGTAACTTATTTGAGCATTCTGTGGTGTCTCATCAGTACCCTGAGATTCACTCTTTACCTCAAGCATTTGAGAATTCACAGCAGTTTTAATAAAATCAAGAGTCTTCTCAAAGTTCTGTATAACATTGTCTTCAGAAACCTGCAAATCAGAATTCATGCCTGACGGGCATGAATTCAAAGCCATCATTTGGGAATCTCCATTTTCAGTCTTTAATGTCAAAGGGGTTAACATTGTATGGGATTCAAGACTGGCTTTAAAGTCCTCTTTTACGTCAGTTATAAACAACTGGCTGTCAATGTTATTTAATTTCTGGGTTAGGTTTTCCACCAAACTTGGAGATTCACAATTTGGAATTACATCATTCTTTGCCATCAGTCCCACTGTTGTTAAGTCATTTGGTACTAAGTTCTGGGAAGCATTTGGTACAATTACTGGAGGAGCAACTTTTTTTCTTCTCTTAGATGCACTGTGTCCTTTTTTATTTAAATGACTGGATCTTGTGTTTTGAGGCCCATTTATAACAGAAACACGTGAACTATTACTGCCAAAACTTTGTTGTGGCTCAGTAGAACTATTCAATGAACTGGAGCACAAACCATTTTCAACAGTCTTCAGTAGTAAATCATCTGTTGTTAAAACAGGCAAAGTGCTACATTCCTTGATAGCAGAAGTTTTGGAGTCTGGTGATCTATTCTGGTCTGTTGGCGAAGTGTTTGGGTGGCAGACGGTCTGTAACAAGGGCGTCCCAGTTGGACCTGGCATCACTGCTGAACTTACCTGTGCTGCATTTGAGACACAGCCTATGGGAACAACCTGAGAAAGCATTTCAGCACTTTCAAAAGTGCTGGGAATGCCAGCAGTTTCTAAGGCCTGCTTAATAATTTCACTGCCTTCCTGACTAACACTGGTATTAAAGTTACTCACATCACATCTGGGAAATGTATTTGGTAAAAATGCTGGGCGATTTTCAACAGCAAGAAGCTGCAGGAATGATGGATCTTTAAAACATGCTTCTGGATTGAAGGTAGACTGGTGTGGTTCCTGCAAATTTACTGCATTTGTGGAAAGAATCATGCTGGCCAGAAGGGAAGGCTGTCCATTATTTTGTAAAAGTTCTTGGGCAATTTCTGCCCCATCCAGTGGTTTGCAGTAAGATCTTTTAGACAGGTGTCCACCCAGTGACCTGGGATTAGTAAAAGCCCTGTAACACCTACTGCAGATGAACTTTCCATCTCTGATAATTGCAGGCCATTTAGCCCTTTTGTTGTGCTTGGGTTTTCTTTCCTTTCCATTTGGGCCCCGGCCACGGTCTTTTCTCACTTTTTTAGATGCAGACTGTTGTGCACTGGTGCTACTGAAATCATTTGCAACATTCACTTGTGAAGGAAAAACTGCATTTTCACCACTACCCTCCTTTAGAAAGGAAGAATTTGTGTTTCCTTCCATCTGTGAGGAATAATGATTTGAATTATTTTCCAGTTGGGAGAAAACAGAATTAGTCGCACTGTCTGTTGGTGAAGGGAAGAGAGAGCTATTTTCTGCAGGTAAAGGAAGGAAAGGATCTGAGCCGCTGTCAATATTCAAAGGCAAAACTGTTTTGGTTAGATCTTCCATTTGTGCTGGCAAGGCAGTATTAGACAAATTTTCCATTTGTGAACACAGCATACCACCTTGCTCACATTTATCCTGAGAAGGTAAATTTGGACTTAGGACACTTTCCATTGAGGGTAACAATGGAGTTGACACACTTGCTAAATGAGCTGGAAAAAGGGAAGGTGAGACATGCTGCAGCTGGGCTGAACAAGCAGGATTCCCATTGGCTTTGGTCTGTGGTGTAAAAAAAGCATGATCAGAGCTGCTCACTTGTGATGGCAAAAAATAAACACACTTTCCATGATTTGGTGGACTTAAGTTGTTAGATTTCTGACCTTTTTTAGTCTTGCGCTGCATTTTAAAAGCAGCATATTGGTCAGGGTGTGCTGTCTTCATGTGTTTTCCAATACTCTGTGAAGAGTTATACGTTCGAGTACATCCCTCAACCTGGCAGCTGAATTTCTGAACTGGAGCTTCTGGAGGTGCTGATGGAGTTCCCAATGTACTACTCAGGTTGGGCTGTGATGGAACAAATGTGATACTTTCTAGTGTCTTAAGAGGTAAATCATAAAGGCTGGGTGATGTTTTAACATTACCTCCACATTCAAACTTGGAAGTCTGTGAACCGTTTTGAAATCCTGCCTGATTTTGCACAGAAAAGGTCATCAGAGTGCTGACTTGTCTTTCTAAGGTTTGAGGGTTAATGTCACCGATCTTCAGGGTTTCTGAATTTGCTAAAGAATTCTGAGGAATTTGGGCTTCATTTAAGCACTCATGTTCTTTTCTTTCTTGGAAACCTGGATGACACAAATCAACACCAGTACCTTCACCTGGTTTACACAAATCTCTAACTAGTGGCACATCAGTGTCTTCCATGGTTAAGTTTTCTTGCTTTCCAAAGCTATCCTCAATCCCATGGTTGAGAGACACTTTGATGGACACAGCTACTTCATTGTCCTGAAGAACAGTAGTACCAGCAGGGTTTTCCAAACCTTTTGACAATGGTTTATTAGCTTGCTTGAATTCAGAGGCAGAGAGCTGGCCTTGTTCAGTCCCAGCTGATTCTGTTTTGCTTTTATCCCAATCATCACTTCTATGTGCTTGTAAGCTCGTTTCAATGTTATTTTCTGAAGGAAGCACTGATCTTTCTTTCCCAGAATTCCCTTCTGTGTTCTGACTCACATCATTTTCAGATGAATTAAGCTGGTCTTCAGGAGACAGCACTTTCTCAGGAGTACTATGATCATCCAGATGCTTTTCCATCTCACTCTGAGAACGATAAACTTTACCACAACCTGTGAACTTACAAGTATAGGTATTATAATGCTGTGCTTCATGATCATATAGTAAATAAGCTTGTGAAAAAATCCTGCCACATTTAGGAAACAAGCACTTTGCTCTAAAAACTTGATGCTCTTTTCGGTGTGCTAAAAGCTCTGCATAACTATTAAAACCAGCTTTGCATTTCATCTGTATACATATATACGGTTTACTGCCGCAATGCATTTGTAAGTGATCATTGAGGTGAGTGACGCTTACAAAATGCCGTCTACAGTACTGGCAAATGACTTTTTTGCTTTGCATTTCAAGAAAGCGTTTGGCATCTTCATTATCCTTATGCCCCTTTACATGAGCAATTAAATTCTTGAAATACTTAAAGCCCTTTTTACAAAAAGTTACAGGACAATTAAACTCATTAACAGGTACTGGTTTCTGGATTGGGATTACCTCTGGCTCATAAGACTTATCTTTGTCATCATTCTCATCATCTGAACCATCATTGTCATTAAACACTATGAAATCTGTCGAATACAGACTATTCTTCTTTATAGGCCGCTGTTCCTGTTTTGTCACAGGATTAGTCTTCTGATTTTCATGGGTGGCTGTGATCTTAGGAGGCCTTCCCAATCTTCTTAATGGCTTCATAGCTGCTAATCTCTCTTTACTAGATTGTTTAACATGAAGTGTGACATGAGGGACAAAAGTTTCTTTAGAATTAAAATTCTTTGCACATATGGGACAGCTGTAAATCCCATCTCTGTAATGTTTCTGTGCATGTCGTACTATTCTGTGTCCAAGGAATTCTTTGTCACATAACACACAATATTGCATGTAGGCTTGCCAATTCCTAAACCTAGCAGATATAAATCCCCTCTCTCTTAACTGTTTGATGTCCTTCTTCTTCTGCTTTTCATCACCAGTGTCTACAAGCAGGCCCGAATTACTGCCATCTCCACCAGAAAGACCATTCAGAGACATTTCTTTACTCTCCTCCTGGTAATCTACTACTTTCTCATATACTTCACTATCATTTAATTCATCAATCGAAGACACAATAGATGCTTCTTCTCCCATTAGTGCAAGACATTGCCGCTTTAAGGTTTTCCAATCCCAAAATTCTGGATCAAAGGGCCACTGAGTTTTCAAAACAAGTAAGAGTTCACATCGCAGAGAATTTGGTATAGGAAGATTTTCTTCATCGTATTTCTGGTCTGGCTGGTTGTATAACATTTCCACAGCATAATATGCATCTACTGTAGGCTCAATAAGGAATTCACTCAGTTGACAAGCACGTTTAACTTCCAGATCATCAGGCAACAAACATGAAATGGTCTTGCAAATTGATATTTTTACTTCAGTATTTTCTGTAGATTCCAAGCGAAGAGCTTTTACACATAGTTCTATGCAGGTAGCAAGTCCAGCCCCTTCAGTCTGTGAAGAAACAAAGGAAATGTTAATCTACACTAATTAATTTTTTTAAATTTGGCCTTTAAGATTGAGATGTGCTTTTCTCAAATCTTTCAATAGCTATAGATACCCCTTCTAGGCTACTACAGCTCGGTCTGGTGTGGGTGTAAGTTAAAACAAACAACTGGGAAAGAGGTGACCATATGTCTCTAGCTTTCACATAAACCTCTATATTTTATTCTGTTTGGGGATAGATCTGAGTACAAATTTTACAGTAAAAGGGGCTGGTAAGATGGCTCAGCCATCAAGTCTGACAACCTAAGTTTGATTCTCAGGAACCACATGGTGGGAAGAGAAATGACTGAGCAAGTTGTTCCTCTGACTTCCACACATATGCCATGGAATTCGTGAGCACACATAAAAATTAGATACATTTTTTTTTTTTTTTAGAATAGTAAAACATCTGTTACAATGCCATAATAACAGACATCTAAGCCACTCTTGTTATGATCTACAAGAAAGACAAAGACATGTGGGTGAAACTGCATGAGAAGAGACCAGGAGAAATTTTGGAGAAGTTAAAGGCCAAGCTAATGATGACCTGAAGACATACTACCTGAAGGAATGTATGTATGCAGAACAGAATTCTAGAAGGGCTGTGCTAGCTGGAAAACTCACAAAATGATAGGGAAAAATGAATTTAAGAAAGAAGACATCAGAGAATTTCTGGATGAAAAGACTATCTTGGGGAAGGTAACTATTTTATCATATGAATGTCAAACTCACTAAAAATGGCAAAACTTGATTCAAAATCATAAAACACAACTAAAATTATTTTAAAGGGGAATCCTAATGATACTTCTAATCCTGTCAGCTGCTGAACAAGGGTTTATTTCAACTTACAAACAACAAATAGTTTTGTTTTGTTTCGTTGTTGAGACAGGATCATCCTAAGTAGCCCAGGCTGGCCCTGAATTCATAATCCTTCTGCCTCAGACTCCTAAGAGATGGGATTACAAGTATGCACCATGACACCTAGCAAAGCAAATGGTTTGTTTTAAAAATATTTTAATGTTGTGATTAAAGGTAAAACCTATACAAATAATGGCAATAAAACAAAAAACAGCTTTATCAAACTGTATTCTTCGAAGTTTTGGAGAATTAAGTTAACAGGAAATACTCAAATCATAAACTGGCTATATAACATGCATATTTTAAAGACTGAGTTTGAATTCACCACAATTTTACATAATACAGTGTAATTAAATGAGTGATTAGCTCAAAAGTCTAAGTCAGAACATCAGCTAGTAAAAGTACTAGTGCAACTTGAACTTAAGAGTTACAGAAGCATAATCTAAGAGCTATATAATTTAGGAGGAATTTAGACTTGTCTGCCTTTCTAGACTAGAACAGCACTGCAAGCTTCTGACAAAGGCAGTTTGTTTTTGGTAATCCCTTCTCCCTTATCTCTGGCTGCCTAGTAATAAGATCAAAAGCTACCCAAATTTTCATGTTGACTATAGTTCCCTACATGACATTCCATTCAGTCCTTCTTTACCTATCCACAATGTCACATCTTAGACTGGTTTAAAATTCTTAAAAAAAAAAAATTCTATTATTTTTATTTTATGTGCATGAGAGTATTGCCTACATGTATGTCATGTGCACCCGTATCAATGCAATGCTTGCCAAGGTCAGAAGAGGACATAGGATTTCCCTGGAACTGGAGTTATGGACTGTTAGCCGCCATGTGGGTTCTGGGAATCAAACCCGGGTCCTCTACAAGAGCAACCAGTGCTCTTACCTGCTGAGCCATCTCTCCAGCTCCTGGTTTAAAATTCTTTATGTGGTTAACTGGTGAATTTTAGAATGAATATAAGCCTAAGATGGAGTATAAGACATAATGACTAAATGGATAATTTAAAAGGGGGAAGGAGAAGGGTTTTTTTTTTTTTTTAACCTTTCAAAGGAGTATTACACATTAATTTAAAAATACTGTTTTTCATTATGAATTTGCAGAACCTATGCAATGAATGATGGGACCTTTGGAAAATGTCTTGTGTGCACACTTAACCAAAAACAAGCTAAATTCCTATACAGGTTATTTTAAGAAATCAGTAGCATAGGGCTGGGGTATAAGCTAGTTGATGGGATTCTGATATCCTTAATAAATGTGTGGAAAAACATGTGTACCCTCTGCTTAACAGGATCCTCTTCAGCTGTGTCTAATCTATACAATCCATCTCTGGTTGTTTTTTCAACTACTAAGGTTTTATATTTTCAAACGTTCTGACTCTTAAATATACTTGGTCATTTTAATAGTGTCATTCTTTCTCATACTTTATTTCCTTATTTTGTGTCTTTAAATATAAATATGTATTACAGATTTATCTATACTTATGCTATTTACAAGTTAATTTAGGCAAATTAATCTCACTATGTAGTGAAACATTTCAGATTTTTAAGGAATCTTGAACGTTAATGCATTTATGTCTTTACATGCAGTTTATAGTTTCTATGCATGCATGTTTAATTCTATCCTTCTGTCTGCTAAAATTCCCTCACAGGAGGCAGGTATGTATTTTGTAAGCCTTGATGATGAAGCCACTTTAAGCAGGGTTTATTTACAAGACTCCTGTATTGACAGTATTTCTCTCCAAAGCAGTCCTAGTCTAGTTCTCATCTTTTTAAACGTCATTTACTTGACATGGAGATTTTTGAAGGGCATGCAATATACTTAACCCCCAAATCTGTTACACAGACTCTTAGTGGAAAGGTTTTCCTCCTTTGATCTAGAGTCCATTTGGATGATACAAGGCTCTATGTCATCCATCAGTGGACTGCTTTTCTAGTCTACCTTTCTTTTTTTGATATATTATTTATTATTCTTATTTTTTGTGTATAAGTGTATTGCCTGCATGTATGTAAGTGCACTTGTGTCATGCAATGTCCATGGAGGTCAGAAAAGTGAGATCTCCTGGAACAGGGGTTTTGGATGGTTGTTAGCTACCATGTGGGTGCTGGGAATCGAACCAGATTAACCACTGAGCCAGCTCTCTAGCTCCTATTCTACCTTTCAGTGCAATTACGGCACTTCACAGGTTGCAGCTGTGTGTACAGGTCAGGGACAAATTCAGATCTAACTCATCTTGAGAGGGCACAACAGGTTATCTAATCTCCATACAGCTAGCTATCTCCTGTCTCTATGTGGATATTCAAACCTGAACTACTTACTCTAAGTATCAGATACATCCCAGCATCCAGGTCAAAATTACTGCTCTAGTTTTCAGTTTTTTTCTGCTCTTCATTTTAAACCTTAGGTGAGGGAGTTCCCTAAAATTCTTATGCCTTCAGCTGCTAATAAAAGATGTTTAATTTTATTTGTGATTGTTTTGTAGAAGAGTTTTAGACTATACAATCTTCCAATCTGCCAGCAATGGAATCATTTCTTTATTCTTCTTTAGATGCCCTGCCCCCAATGTAACCCTGGCTGGCCTCAAACTCTCAAGAGATCTACCTGCCTCTGCCCCCTGAGTGCTGAGGTTAAAGGTGTGTGGCACCACACTTGTCCCCTGTTCAAAGTTTCTAATCTTCCGCATAACCAAACTATCAAGAGTAGAACACCTACTAGCAAAACTGAAGAACAAAAACGGAAAGAATTATGCATATTAGTTTCTTATATGGTAGAAGGAAGTCTTTTATTTATATATGCACTTTTAAGTTTCTCTGGATCAAATACTTCAAAGGAATAATAAAAAAAAAAAAAATCAAAAGTCCAAAGCACTGAAGAAGAAAAATTACTGGAAGTGTCAAAAGTAATAAAAGTTAAAAAAATCTTGTTAAAGATGATTTATTGAATTTAAATTAAGGGAAAACATCTTGATTATTCTTACCTCTGAATTAATAACTTTAATCAGGAAGAAAATGTGATATACAGTCTTCGTTAACAAAGAAAGTTGACGACACCTCTCTAGGTACACTTGTATCGATGGCTCTACCCTTTGCTGCAATTTACTCCAAAACAGAGTGAGTTCCCTTAAAAAAAAGTTTAAAGGATAAGCTGGATGAGTAATATAATAATAATAATCATGGACTATATCAGTCTATCCATTACATATGAAGTAAAACTGACTTTAGGCTCCAATTTTATAGGTGGAATTAAGCCTAAATACAAGATAAATCTGCACTTTGATTTTCTAAACACCAAAGGAAAAGTCAAATCCAATTTCCTCATTTTGTTAATAAGTATTTTGCAATCCCAGCATAGCACTATCTTTTAATTTGGGTATCATCTAACATTTAAAGAACTTACATTTAAATTTTCAACTATGTAATACAAAAGCTCAAAATGTATATGTGCATAATATCTAAGAAAAGCAAAATGATTTTTAAAAACATACTCATTTGGGATTAGAGGTGTACCTTAGTGACAGAGCACTTGCCTAACACAGCTTCAAATCTATCATCACCCTAAACAAACAACCCATAAAACCTGTATCTTCTAAATTAAAAATCTACCCAGAAGGAACAAATCAATCTCTGCTACAAAGGTTAAATTGAGAAAAAGCAAAAAAAAAACAAAAACAAAAAACCACTAAAATTGACTTTTAATTTAGTTTTTACAGAAAAAAATTATTAAAGTAATAAATGTGCCTGCTGTATCCAATTTCTCTTTTGTCCTTCATAGTTAAATTCCACAAAAATGTTTCTTGCTTCAATATTTTCAGCAATTTTCTCAATACAGGGTTCTGCTAATGCCTCCTTCAGTTTGCAGCTCCTTAGGAACTCTGTCCCCTTCACTGCTCACCTGCTGGATTTTAATGTACATAATGAAGACCTCAAAACCTGTTTATAAAATTTTGACCATATTCACCTCTTTTGTATGCTTCCTCTATGGATTCTTCCAAAATCTGAAGCTGAGCACAGTCATGCATGCTACTACAGTATTTCAATTAACAGCAGGCCACACAGAGTACCATACCAAAGATTATGCAACCTCTTGAGTTGTGCCACTGTAGCCTTCTTAGTTGATATTTGTACAATGGCAAATTATTTCTAACCATGTATTTCCCAGATGTATTCTATCACTAAGCAATGTATGACTGTAAAAAAGGTGACTATCATTCTTCCTAATTCATTATTTTCCATTTAATATATTATTATTACTGACCCAAATGGCCTCAACTTTTTAACTTTCCTTGAGACTGATAAATATCTTTTGCGTTTTATTCACCTGATGCCACATACCTAAGGAAGCCCTTGTAGTTTCCTAGCTGGATTATTTACTGGCTTTCTAGTCTTCTGTGTAAGCTCTAGAGCTCTAATTTCTTCCTTCTATGTGTCCTCTCTATTCATTCTCCAAGCAATTCTCAAATGTGTATCTTAAAAGTGTTTCTTAAACATGAACTTCTACATTGCCATTTAAGAGTGTATAACACACTGCTCCTGTATATCATACAAATTCAGACTTTGATGCCTTTTTAGAACCAATGGAACACACTTCTTAGTGATCACAGATTTTCATGTTATCTTCTGCCTGCAAAATCTACTTATCCTTGTAATAAATATGTTGTAGTTATCCCTGCCTTTTGTCAATGCCCTCTGTATTTTACATGTATCATTTTCCTTCATAACAGAAATCAACTGCTCAGAAAAACTTGGTAACTCTGAACTTTAATTTCTTCAATTACACAGCCATTTACTGACCTGGTCTGTTCTATATTCATTTGCATGCCATGTGTTACTTGGTAGATATTCTTAAAAGCCAGACTGTTTTAAGTCAATTTTCCTTCAATAACCAATAATGTTCTTGAATGACAATATACATTGCTAGTCTTGGCAATAATCTAAGACTTCTGGTTCCAAGTTTTTTTTTGTAAACTATTTTATTTATTATTTTTATTTTATGTGTATGAGTGTATTGCCTGCACGTATGTGAGTGTACCCGTGTTGTGCAATACTGCAGAGGTCAGAAGAGGGCTTCGGATTCCCCTGGAACTGGAGTTAAGGAGGGTTCATAGTCGCCATATGGGTCCTGGGAATCAAACCTGGGTCCTCTACAAGAGCAGTCAGTGCTCTTAACTGTTAAGCCATCTCTCCAGCCCAGGTTCCAAGTTTTATAAGTTAATGGTAGTCAACATGTAAGTTGCAACATCATAGAAAGCTCTATGTTACATGTTTTGCTCACTTGGGGAATGTGCCATGCTAGGAAGGGTGCGCTAACAGAGAATGTCAAACAAGCAAGCAAAGTGGAAGGATCTCTACAGGTAAGAAATAAACTTCCAACATATGAGGTTTATAGCTAGTTAAATAACTCAAAGTATACAATATGCAGAGAAAAAATATACACATTAGATCACAGGTTGATGACATAGCTAAAAAAATTTTTTGGGTAGCATCTGACAAACTTTCAAATTTTAAAACCAAAATGTGAACTATTTGATAATCACTTTGCATAGAATGTAGTAGCTAGAAAAACCCTTTTTTGTCATGATGAAACAAAAAGACTTTTAAAAACTTCTGAATTACTTGAGCTCTTAAAATCTATTTTGTATTCTCTTTGTTTTAAGACAGGATCTCATTATGTAGCCCTCGCTGGCCTGGAACTTTCTACATGGATCCTGCTAGCCTTGAACTCAGAGATTCAACTGCCTCTGCCTCCCAAATGCTAGGACTAAAGGAATGTACCACCATGCCCAGCCACTGTATTCTCATTTAACAAAATTTCCGTTATAAAAGAAAACCAACTCACCAAGCACAATACATATCTCCTTGTTGGAGCTGACGTGATAAAAATGCAGTACATAAAACAAGAGCACTTTTCTCATCGCCTTCAGATTCTAAATTACAGATCATTTCTAATGCATCTTTGCAATCAACTTCTGATATCTATAGAAAAAGGAAACAAATATGCCATAAAAGGCTTTATATTAGGATGTATATAGCAATATATTTAAAAGTTTTCATTTGATATCCAGAAATTTTCATTAATATATACTATCAAGTTATAACTGGGATAAAGTTATAAATGTTCACTAACTAATGTCAATTAATTATAAACATCTTTTAACCATTAAATTGGATCCATGACCTAAAGTAAACTTCAGTACTTTTACTTTTCTCCCCTTTTATCCACTGATTTAAATTAGTATTAGAATCAGCAGAAAGACAGAATTATACTGGATATAAGATTAAAGGGACTAACTAGCTTACTCCATTTCAAAGATTGCCTACGAGTTCATATAAGCCAGATCAAGGCAACTTCATTTAATGATATGCTCCTGTACATTACTTATTTTTAAAAGAAGTTAAAATGTACTACCTTATTATATAAAACATAATAAATAGTATACCTTATACTATATAAAACAGAATTAACCAGTGACTTCCACAATGATTTGCTTTTAAGACAGGGATGTGACAAACATCAGACAATCACAAATCATCTTTGTTCCACAGGATAGAATGATTTGGTATATGACATGTTATAAAGGCAATGGTAAAAAGAACTAAAGACTAAAGAAAGACCATCAGCACCTATGTGTCACAGAGCTATGTCCTTCCTAGTTGAACTCTCTCCTCATCAAATACAAGGTAAACAAAAGTGTATGTGTAAACTGTACTGTGTCTAGGACTAAACAAGTATTTAAATGACAGCAAGGATGTATAATTTTAAGGCTGATTTTTGATAATGAGGATGAAGGCTGTGTGACAACTGACTGTGAAGTTTCATTTTATATATATGAAACTGGGCTGGAAAACACTAAGAGGCTGGTTGTGGTGGTGCATGCCTGTAAATCCTAGCACTCGTGAGAGAGGCAGGAAGGTCAGTTCCAGATCAGCCTAGGCCACACACAAGACCCTGCCTCAAAACAAACAAATAAACAGACAGACACCAAGTAAAAACAACAAAAGACCAATATAAAACAAACAAAACACCAAGATCGATTTCTATGTCTGTGTGATTAACAACAATCACAATGATTTCTTAAAGAAATTATACAACTGCATTCTAAGTTTCCTGTGGTAGCAGACACCTGGAATCTCTTCCAGGGAGGCAGAAACACAACACTGTGAGTTTAAGGCCAGCTTGGACTTATCTATGGTGAGGCCTTGTCCAAACAACAAGAAAAACTAAACAGACTGAAATCCAGTCCAGTGACTGCTCCTTCCACTACTCCTCTGACACTTTGTAACAAATCTTTATCTGAAAGTGACCCTATTTATACTACCAAAAGTGGGGGGAAGTGAAGGATATACATTTATACAATATTTTTAAGTATCTATATTAAACAGTGTCAGACATTTTATAATATTTATCACAACTTTACCACTGGGTAGGTACTTAACATTTTATACATAAGAAATTACATAACTTGATTAATTTACAATACTCAAGTAATAGACCTACAAATCAAACTATGACTGGTATTAAAAATCCAAATTCTTGCCATTTTATAAGAGTTTTATCCATTTTAAACAATTACTCTGATACAGTCATGCTGGCAAATGTAAGGCCAAGTGTAAATTAAAAACAAAAAAAAAAAAAAAAAAAAAAAAAAAAAAAAGAATTTTGCAGAAGACGCTAGTAACAGTAACTGGAGCAAACTATCAGGGGAAGTTTCTCCAGGAATAGCATCTATAATGCACACAAGAGCTTGCTGGGTACACAGATACACTACAAGCTGAGTGTCACATATCCAAATGCTTGGGATCAAATAGGTTTTAGATTTTGGATTTTAAAAAATAATTGCATAATAACAGGTTTGGGACCCTGAAGGTCATTACCCCATGCAATATCTTTAGTATAATTATGTTTTGCTGTGACCCATCAGATGATATCATGTGTGGAATTTTTTACTTGTTGTATGATGCCTGTAGTTAAAACTTTACAGATTTTGGAATAGATTCAGACCTCAAATTTGCTAAGGATGCTCAAACTACTAGGTCTCACCTCACTGTCTATGCTCTCCAGAATTCCACATATGTAAGCATATGAGGCCCTATATTATACTTGCCTATTGTTTGTACCTGCTCAGGTTTAATAAAAATCCTTTCTTCTTGAAATTCTGATTTACTTAAATCTCACTTTTTCTTTCTTTTTTAAAATTTGGTCTTTTTCAGACAGGTTCTCCATGTAGCCCCAGCTGGCCTGGCACTCACTACATAGATCAGGCTGCCCTCGTTTTTACAAAGACCTGCTTGCCTCTGCCTCGTGAGCATGAGGATCAAAGGCATGTGCACAACCTGGGTAAATCTCATCATTTTTATTTCTTCTAAAACCTGTAATTCTTGTTGAATGCTCATATGGGTACCAAATATATGTATGATTATTTCCCCAATCAAATTACTATCATTAACTAACTTAATATTTAAAAGTATGTACTTCAATGTATGTGTTATGACCACCAATGTGTGTTTATTCTTACATACATATAAATATACAAAGCATTTGGTCTACTCAAAATACACAAAAACATTTTAAAAACATATTATTGTGTGTGTACATGATGTGTGTGGGGCATGTGTGTCACTACACACAGGTGTAGACCAGAAGACTTTGTGGAATTAATTTTCTTCCAATTTTACATAGTTTCAAGGGATCCAACCTAAGTCACTGGGCTTTCAGGCACTGCCTTTACCCACTGAGCCATCTTGCCTGCCAAAACGTCAATTGATTTATTGTTGTTGGGTACTAACTAAATGCACTAAATGTTAACAGTGCATCTGAGAGATTTCACTTCCCTAATTTGCCAGGAGGTGGCCCTATTAAAAAATGATAAAGACAATGGCAGGAATTATGAAGCCACATTTAAATTAATGGATTAAAATTGTGAAAAGTGAAATTTATTAAAACAAAAAAAGAATTGTTTAAAAAAATCCAAAGCAGTACAATTCAGAGATTACCAGTATGTTTAAGAACTATGCTCTATTTTGAAAAATGAGCAAAATTTCAAATACCATAAAATCAGGAGGGAACTCTGAATAAAATATTTAAAA